TTTATAAATAGCTAAAATAAGATATCTAGCTAGTCTAAGCCTACTTAAAGATTATTTTAATTCTTCTTATTAGTAATTAATTTTAGATATAATAAATAGTATCTATAGTCTTAGTCTAAAAGTAGTTTAGTAGGCTATTATTAATTAGTATTAAGTCCTTTATTATATAAATAGTTCTTTATACTTATTTTATATTACTATTATATACTTAAGGATATAAAGTATAAAAAAGCTAATAAATATGTCTTTTTTCTTATAATAGTCCTTAAGAATAATATTTATAAATTTTCTCTTTTTATTAATTTAAAGCACTATTAATAAATATTCTGATATAACTATTATTATTGCGTATTACTTTTTAAAGTATTTATACATACCTAACTTTTGTATTAAAAAGCTTATTTAACTCTTCTTTATAAAGTCGTCCTTTAGTACTATAGTATAGTGTTTGCCTTAAAAGAAGGCAGCATAATAAGATCCTTATAAGTTAGAATCTATTAATTTAAGTTTTCTTATAGTCTTTTGTCCTTCTTTCTAATAAATTATCTGCGTTTGCTTACTCTTAATATAAGGCTTATAGATTTAGCTATTCTCTTATTATTTAATTAGCTCTGTTCCAGAAATAGCTAGATCTAGCTTAAAGATAGCCTGATCTATATCTAAAGTAGCTAGATCTATATTAGTAGATATTTTGCTAACTTAGGCAACTTAGATATAACTTATGTGACTAAGTTAATAATGCTATAATTATTATTATAGATTCTTAGTTATTTTAAATATTAGTTTATCTTATATAATTATTAATATAATAATATAAGTATTATTAAATACAAAAAGATTATCCTTATAAGTTATATAAGTAATAATTTCTTTATTAATAATAAGTATTATATAATTATTTATATTTATATATTTTATTTTATTTGACTTTAATTAGCTAAGAAATAAGAGATTACTTATATAAGTTAGCATATATATTATATTATTAATCTTTATATAATTATTTTCTGTCTTAATTCTAATAATATTAATTTATTTAACTATAATAATACTAGTATTAGTAATAATAAATTATTTATTTATAGTTATTAGTATTTAGAACTAACTCCTTTAGCTAATAATATATTTACTAGTACAGAAATTAATATACTAATTATATTCTTTATTAAGCTTAACATGATTTATAAGCAAACCGCTTATATAAGTGACCCGCTTACTTTTTTTTAAAATAATAGTCTTTTGATTATTAACTAAAATTAAATTATAATTATATAATAAACGTTATTCTTACTTAAGATCTATATTAATTTATACTTCTTTAAAGATAAGTATTTATTAAATATTAGCTAGTTTTATATTCTTCTAATTAAGAATATATTTCTTTTTATTATTAAATTAGGAAGAAAGACCTTTAATAAGCTAAATTATCTAAATATTCTTCTAAATATCTCTTGTAAAGTTAATAGTTATACAAATCTATTTAATAATAGCTAATATCTTATTAATATAAGTATTAATAGACTTCTTAAGGCTAAGAGCCTTATAATTAGCTAGAATAAGAGAAGAGCTCTTACAGAGATATATAGATAACGCCTTACCCTGCTTATAAGCATACTGATTTAAGATAATTCCAAATGTGCTGTAGATCATTAATAGTCTTGATACCCTGAAACAACTCGTCACTAACGTCTCTCTTTAGGAGGTATGCTGCCCTGGCGGCCCTGTGATTATCTAGGTCGTTTGGCAGGCCAGGGGCAATGTATTTCCATAGCTCCTTCTTTATTAGCCGTAGATAGGCCAAATTGGACTAACAAGGCCAGTTTTCGAAACCCTTGAGCTTCTCTCGCTTCTTATGATTGATGTTATCAGTAGAGCTTATCTTGCAGAGGCTATAGAGGGTTTCAGAAAAGCTTTAAGGCTATAAGGGAGTCTAATTGTCTTGAGGTCCTGAAACTGCCTAAGCAGATTTAAGGCCTTTTAAGATAGGGGTTACTTTTAATTAAGATTTATCTTTATTTAATTTCTGTGCTTTTATCAGCATTTAAGGGGTGCTTACTAGGCTTATAACTTACTAAAAGTAATGCTAAACTGCTTCTACTATTTATAGATTTATTTATTTAATTCTTACACTGATGTGGTCCTGGCCTAGGGCTAGTCTATGCGGGGGATACGTACAATTAAGAGCAGTTATAACTCTTAATAACAAACAAGAACAAACGCAAGGAAACCTTTCTAGGGAAAAAACCTTACCGCTAGTAAGTGAACGAGTTCTTCGGGGCGCTTCGACAGTGTGCACAGGGCTCTGTAGCTGCAGTGTAGTTAGGCGCAAAGTTGTTCAGCCGCAAACGAGAACTGGGGGAGGGCCCCAGCCTTCATTAGCCAAAGCGTTACTATCTTGAGGGCCTTTGGATCGTCGAGGAGACGGCGGTAATCTGTCGTGCCGGCGGCGGCGAGCATCTTGTGTCTGTCTGAGAGTAGCGGGCAGTCCATAACCACGTGTTGGGCAGTCTGTCTTCTCTAACCGCACCCGCAGGATGGTGAGGGGATGTCTGGAACGTTCTGTTTAAAGAGGAAGTCTGTGAAGCCTATTTTGTTAGTCCTTAGCTGTGTAGTAAGGGAGCTTTGTGCCTTAGCTAGGCCTTGATGTATCCTTAATCTCTGCATCTATAGATATCTATACTTAATTAATTAATTAATCTAATAACTTGTCTAAAAATTATATCTAACTCCTATCTAAAGTTTTAGTATAATCTTACTCTTATAGCGTTATGTCTGTTCTAGCATAGCCCTAGGTCATAAGTTGACTACTAGGCTAGCGGCTTAGCAGTAATTTAATAATTATTTATTTAATTATTTCTTAAAGTCTTACTTATTTAAGAATTAAGAAAATTATATTTAATATATTAAAAAATAAAATAATTTATATCTTATATAATTAAA